CTGTGTCAATCACCTCGGTGTACGCCACAAGACAGTTCGGGCATATGCCTTACTATGCCCTACTACGATTCACTCCGCACACTCAACCATGATAAGCTCGGATAAAACAATACTTGGAAAAAGATCACTTAGGAAAAAATATCAACTTCATTAACAGAAAGTTTTGTACAACGGGCTAGACAAAAGAAAAAAAAGACTGAGCTCGCGGGCTCGGAATACAAAGGCAATCACTTCGGAAGCTCTTCACCACCACGAGAGATCTCCTTAGGATCTTCGGGCTGGTCGGGGGTGTCCGCTTCTTCGTCACCATCCTCCTCCTCCGAGTCCGGGTCCTCTACGGCTTGACGAGCTATCTCGTCCGTGATTCGCGAGGTGGTGATGGCACTTGTGTCAAGCTCGGGGTATGTGTGCCTTATCAGCCACCTGCTGAGCTTGAACCCCTTGCGGTAGGCCTTTCGCAGAACGACATCAAATTTGTCGGATTGGATGTACTCTGCGATAGCCTTGATCTTCGTCTCCTCTATCGCTCGAGTGAAGATCTCGGTCTTCTCTTCGATGTCCGCCTTGAGGTACTCCACCTCGTGCAGAAGGGCCTTCTTATTTTCCTTAAGGCCTTCTGCCTCTACTCTAAGGGCGTCCAGCTCACCCCTCAGTACGCCCTTCTCGCGTGTTAGCTCCGCTTTGAGGGTCTCCATCTCGCCCCTCAGCACATTATTCTTGCGTGCCAGCTCGTCCTTCTCCGCCGTCAGCGTCGTGATAACGCCCCTCTGGGCCATGGCACCGCTCTCCAACTGGTGGATCTGCTCATGAGCTATCCTCAGTTCGGTATGAGCAGCGCGAGAAGACTCCTCGGCGGTCAAATCCCGCTTCAGATTCCTCTCGGACTGAAGAGCGAGGGCGTGCACAATGGAGTTCGCTTGACAAAGGAAGTTAGTTAGTACCGAAAAAGCGTAAATATAAAAGGAAAGGAAAAGAAAGAGAAGAAAACTTACCACCATAGTGTGGGTGGCAGCCCGGGCTCTGAGCTGAGCAGGGTTGAGCATATCAGCCCAAACCGAAATCTCCTCAGAATAAACGACCCCCTTGCTCTTTCGAAGACCGAACTAGGGGACCAAGATACTTCGGCCCCCATCTGGACTCCCCGAGCTGGAAACAATCGTCTCGGTTGTATGGATGGGCTCTGTGGAGACTTCAGTTGCAACGTTAGCAGCTCCGGTAGCAGCCTCGGCATCGGCTACCGCCCTCACGGTGGGCTCGGCCAAGGTCTCGGGCTCCCTAAGTGGTATGGACTCCTCCAAGTCGGTGATCGGAGGAGCCCTAGGGAGCTCGGGCTCAGAAGTTGGAGCCGGTTGAAGCTGGGGCTCGGGAGTGGGGGCAGGCGGTGACTCGATACGGGCTCTCTTGGCAACCCGCTTCTTCCTCCCCTTCATGTGCTTAAAGAGACGGTCTCCCTTAAGTTTGTCTGCCTCCATGGGACCTGCAAAAAGAGCTCGGCATTAGTACTCGGGTGATATAATCTTTGAAATCACAACCGATCTCGCCCACGACTGGAATGCCTCCCTGGTCTTCTTGTCGAGTATGACGCCAGGGTCTTGGATAGCCGCCCTCTAGTGAGTAGGGAAGGGCCACCCCACCGGGTTCCGAACTACGAAGTAGTCCTGCTTCTAGGCCGGGATCTTGCTAGGAAGCTTGTGCATTAACTTAAAGTCCGGGCGAGGGGACAAGTTGTAAGCCCTCCTGTGCTCGGGGAGAACGCATGAAGCGCTCTTCTTAATGGTAAGGAGAGAACAAAATATGTCCAAGTTGAGGGGGAGGACATACTCGTAACAGAGGGAGATGGTCCCGATCACGTTACGGACTGAGTTCGGGTGAAACTTCTCTATCGTAACGTTGAAGTGTTTCAGAACCTCCACTATGAGTGGATGGAAGGGAAGGCGTAGCCCGACTATGAGCTGCTCTCGGAAGATCACGACCTCATCAGGGCCGTGCTCCCATGGGAAGTTCCCTGCAGGTAAACTATAGGTGTACTCCCTGGGTAGGTTGTACTATTAGATGAGTTGACGGAGCCTCTCCAGGGTCATAGTGGAAGGCCCAAACCTGTCCGGCATCCGACCTCGGTGAAAGGTGGATGCCAAGTTACCCGAGGCCACCCGCGCCTCGGGGGACTGGACTCCGGTAGCCGAGGTACCAACCTCGGGCACCTCGGGCTCATCTAACTGGCTATCAAAGGAAGACATAACGAAACCGAAGAAGAGCTAGGGTGACTCACCGAAAAGAGATGGATCGGACTGAGAAGAACTGACCCGAGCTGGAGGCTTTGGACGCGAGCTCAAAACTACAACTGAAGATTTGTGGCGAAGGAAAATGGCCAGGACCCCCGCTATTTATAGCCACTATACGCGGGCATCAATGGTTGAGATCGAAACGATCTGACGGTCCTCATGAAAACCGATTGTGCGACCTTCGAGACGAAATCAGTTTGCACCTGGCAGAACCGAGCGGAAAACCAGTCCAACCTATGAACTGACAGACAAGAAAGTTTGGACTCTGAGCCAAATCCACCCGGTAGACTGCGGACTCCCCGCACTAGGTCAACACTCCTAGCACGGGGAGTGGGGGCAATTGATGAAGGGTGATTTGGCTTGACCTCGTAGCACGGGGACATGTGGACATGACCTAGCATGAGTGAAAATTCAGTGTGACAGCCTGGTCACTACTCGATGCAGCGAGCTCGCCGAGGCCCAGTCAAATGACTTGGCGGGTGGGACAGCTCGTCGAGAAGCAAGGCCCAGCTCGCCCCAAACCTGAGGGTGGAGCACCCCGAGCTCCCCCATGCAAAAGGACCCGAGCTCCTCCTAAGGGACTCCGAGCTCTCCCTTCCTAAGAAGGAAGCACCCCAACTTTTGGCTAAGTGTCTCGAGGGAGAAAACA